CAAGGCACTCCACTACATGCCGTTGTTTAGGAGGAGAGTTTTGAGTGGATCATGACCCTCTGTCTCCTACCTGTGCGGAATTCTCTAGTCCAGTTTAGCAGGCCGCTCTTAATTCCAAGACTTAAGGGTTTCATGAGCTGTCTTGTGTGAAGTGTTTTGTCAAAAATCTTGCCGAAGCCTATAAAAACGACATCAACAGGTTTCCTGTGACTTGACCCATTTTTCTGTTACTGTAAGATTTGTCAGTAGTTTGAGGCTTCCCCGAAATCCGTGCTGTGATCTTGGCGACAAGCTGTTTTCCGGATATGCTGTAATAGATTTCTTGATAAGTTTTCTGGTGTCTTGATTAGGGTGCTTGTGGGACTGATGGGTCTGTAGTTTGGAGAATAATATCTGCATCCTTCTTTGTGAATGGGGGTTACTAGTGTCTTTCCAGTCGCAAGGTACCACTCCATTCAAGAGAGATAGCTTGTATATCGTAGTCGATCGAAGGGCTGTGTAAGCCGCTAGCTCCTTGAGAAGCCTTAGATGAAGATCATCGGATCCCATCAATTTCCTTGGGTTTAGTTTCTCTAGGGATTGGAATATGGTGTTTTGGTCGATGTCGACGAAACCTATCCTGTATTCCTTTGACGCAACCACAGTTGATGCTATGGGGTGTGACGACTTCTGTGTGAAGACTTTGGAGAAGTTGTCTGCTATTGCTTACAACTTTTCCTGATCCTCTTCTATTGTTTCTTTATCAATAGTCAGGTTTAGGACTCTGCCGGTTGTCTTATTCCTGTGGTTCATGTACGAAAATAGCTTCTTGGGTTGTGTCGTTGCATTTTGAGCCAGACATATTTCGAAATTTACCCATAATTGACGAATTTTTGCAGTAGCTTTGTTGCTGGCAACGGTGTATAAATTTCTGGCCTCAGAAGTTCCAAGTATAACAAAAAGGTTCTAGCATTTATGCTTATGCCTGAGTAATCCCTGAATCTCTCAATTTATCCATAGAAGGGAGCTATGCCATCAATTCAGGTGGCTATATCGAGAAATAAGTAGGTAAATTGTATCCTTTTGAAACCAACCTTCTGGTATGGCATACAATGCTTTATTTGAATATTGTAACTACAATAAGTTTCGACGAGTTGGTCACGGATTGATATCAGTTAGAGAAACTCATTGAAAACCAGCACTGGAGAACTGGACAGCTGTTTCATCCTAGTTTGGGAATTATCGGCAGTATGCACCCACTGGAGTTCGAACCTAGGACCTTCCGGTAACAAGTCAGGCAAGCTCGTTTACCATTCAGCGACTGGGACCCGATTCAATGGCCGATGATTCCCAAAACTAGGATGAAACAGCTGCCTGGTGGTACTCCTGTCCTGGTTTTCAATGGTTCTCTAACTGATATCGATCGGTGATCAACTCGTCAAGACAAATATAATCCTTACAAACCAACTATTGAAAACTACAGTAAGCTCCAGACGTATTATTATCAGTATGCTTATTGGGATTAAGTGTAATATTGCACCTTGTACCGTCATCTAAAAGTGAGAGCATGATTTCTAATGGTAAGAAAAGAAAGCATCATTATCTCGTAGTTGAAGACTGTAAAATTGAGATTAGAAATTATGAAAGGTATAATTAAAAGTCATTCTTATTGGCATTCAGCATTCATTCTTGACCTTTTGTTAGAACTCTAAAATCTGTACTTTTATTCACTTATTTCTTCCCCTCTTCGTTTTGGTTTTCAATAAGAAAAAGATATAAGATTATTTTCATTTGATTTATTTTCTGCTTGCTGAGTCACCCTCTTTTGTGTTCCTTAGAGGGCAGCAAAAAGTGGGTCGGTGAACACCTATACTAGATAAGAAAAACCATTGATTTTATTCAACAAAGGAACGTATTTCTTTCCAGTGACTTGCTTAGTCAGTACTGCACATATGATGATAAGAATAAAGATAATTAAAATGATGCACTAAAGGGGGAGGGTAGAGTTGAAGTAGGCGAATTACAAACTTTTAAGGATTATCAAATAAGTGAACTCGTATAAAGATTTTAAAATTGTAGGTCAGTTGTTATGTGACAAATTGAGTACGATGATGATAAACGTAAAGAGAGCGAAGGCGAATTGAAGTGGAATGAATTCAAGTGGTAAAAGAGAATAAAATAAAAGAACAGTACTATGACCAAGGGAAAGAAAGGGATTTGACAAGACGTTTTTGAACACATAGTGTAGGTTTCTGTTCATGTATAGCTAGAGCTTCAGCTATGCATAAGTGGAGAAAACGTAAGCTTTTAGAATGGTTAGATTTGGTCCAGTAAATAACTTTAAAGGATAAATCATGTGAAGTGACTCCAGAAGGTGTTCACAAATTGAAGACTTTGTCGTCCTTTCTCACCTTTCATTAACAATGCCGGGTAGTGTTCAGCTATGCGTTTATGGAGAACACGCTTACAATGTCCAATATCACCAGCTCCACACAAGCATCTGAGTGAGTATTCACTCATAGAGGTGGACATAAGCGGTAGTTTATCCTTAACGCATTGTCGAATCATATTTCGGCTGATAATAAATGTAAGTCAGCTGCATAAAAAGAGCGTTTAATACATTCAGATAAACCAGTTTTACTGACTTCGGTAACAATATCACCTTTGAAAGTCAAACTCATAAACAGTATCTTCTTTGGCACGGTGATTTGGCTGGTAACGGTTTCTTTCTTGATGTTTCTGTCGATAAGCTTTTCAGGATATCCATTATTTAACAAAGTTGTACGAAGGTTTTCCTGTTCTATGTTGACCAAATATATAGAGCAAATTTTCCGAATTCTAGAGCCTAGAGAACGGATAAGATTTCTCTTCCTGCCTAGAAGTACTCAACTGTTAAAGTTAGTGTATTGCCCTGTAAATGTTGACTTTCGGTAGATCGATCCTTTTAACGTGCCATCCTCTCTTTTATCTAACACCACGTTTAAGAAGTGAAAAGCATCGATGGGTGAGAACCATTAAATTTTACAAGAAGCTGTTCGACAATTGAACATTTTTCGTTAATATATCGCTTATACATTTGCAAACTTGAGATTGTTTACTTTCAATGAACTACTCAACAACATATTTTTTATATTCCTATACGTTCCCAATAGTGAAACATAGGGTGGCTTCAGGTTAGAGGCTTGAAGTTTCGGTAGCAGTGGTGTTTATTATTTTTATGGGATGGGTTTGCTAGCCACCTCATGTCCAACCTTCCGTCTTCACCAGTCTTATTTACTGGCTTAGCTAGGTAAAGGAGTGTGTCCAGTGGCCGGAGATCGAACCCCGGACCACATACGTGGTCGACGCACATTGTTTGTCTCTATTCTGTCTGTCTGGGTTCAACATAGAACTTGGAACCGAAGTGCAGCAGTTCGAGTTGCCACGTTCCAAATAGCACACAAAGGTAGACAAGAAGATGAGTGAAGAGAATCAATAGAGTTTTGACAAGTATAAGAGTGAAACAGAATGAGTAATGGTAGAAAGCAATATGAAAGATTACAGAGACTGAATACATCTGCGTAAGCCATTGACAACGATTTCGAGCCATGTTACCTATTGTCTCCAGCCATTGATTCTTAGAGTCCCGAGAGCCCCAACCCGGGAGTCTGCATCTCTCTACCTGACTCACTCTAACTGTCAGGGATTTCATGGATTGATGAGGCCATGTTTTTGTTTGGCCACCACTTACTCTTTTCCAACCTTCACCTATATCAGCTAGTAATGCCCGTCCGTCGGGGGAGGCGATGGTTAGGCATGCGCAGCACGTGACCTAGCCATCTCAATCTGTGAAACTTTATAGCCTTGTCGATTGATTTTCCCTCTTTGCCCAATACTACGCCTAACGTTGACATTACTTACCTTATTATACCACCTAACGTGAGAAAGAGATCGTAGACATCTATGATCAAAAACAGACAACCCTTTCATGTCTTCAACTCGTATTGGTCATGTTTCAGAGCCAGCCATAGAGAAGGACGGAGCGAACTGCTGAGCAGTACACACGTCCCTTAGTTGATAGCCGGATGTCACGCCTACGCCAGAGACGGTGTAAGTTAGCGAAAGCAGCTCGAGCTTTTTGGATCCGATATATGCACATAGAGGTTGACATAAGTGGTAGTTTATCCTTAACGCATTGTCAAATCATATTTCGGCTGGTCTATACTAAATCTTAGTCAGCAGCATAAAAGGAGCGTTTAATACACCATTTAGATAAACGAATTTTAATGATTTCAGCAACAGTGTCAGTTTTGAAAGCCAAACTCATAAACAGTGTCTTCTTTGGCACTGTGATTTAGCTGGGAACAGTTTCTTTCTTTATATTTCTGTCAATAAACCTTCTAGGATATCCATTATTTAAGAGAATTGTACGAAGGTTTTCTAGTTCCATGTTGACCATATCTATAGAGCAAATTTTCCGAATTCTGGAGCATAGAGAACGGATAAGATTTCTCTTCCTATCTAGAGGTACCCAACTGTTGAAGTTAGTGTACTGACCTGTAAATGCTGACCTTCGATAAATCGATCTTTCTTTCTTTTCTTTCAATGAACAACTCGACAACATATACTAGATACCGTATTGTTTGTATCTTTATTTTTATTATTTTTTTTTATATTCCTGTACTTCCCCGGTGGTGGAACATAGGGCGGCTTCACGCTAGAGACTTGAAGTTTCGGTAGCAGTGGTGTTTATTATTTTCATGCGATGTGTTTGCTAGCCGCCTCATGTCCAACCTTCCCTCATTATCAGTCCTGTCACTGGCTTAGCTAGGTAAAGGAGTGCGTCCAGTGGCCGGAGATTGAACCCCGGACCACATACGTAGTTGACGCATATTGTTTGCCTCTATTTAACTGTTGTTATATGAGTTTAAAAAAAATGTTTGCTTACATTTTAAACATAGATAAAATTATGTAATTGACGACTGAAGAGAATAGCAAGTCGCAATTGAAAAACCGCATACTATCGCCTGATTATTGTAAAAATGCCTGTTAAACGACCATCTAGTCGTTTTATACCCACAAATACACGAAAGTAAGCTTTCGCTAGTTGTGCTCTTATTTTTTTCAAAAAAATTTTTTTAATAACACTTATAGAACACTTACAGAACCAACAATAATACCACCTGTGATAAAACACTGTACATTTCCTGCTGTACCAAAACTGTCGAGTTTATCGTTTCTTTCACTCAGTCTGATAATCTGTTTAACGTCTACGCTAACTCAGTATATTAATCTATATAAAACGGTATGGTGGTTACCGAATTCATCAATTCAATATGCTATAGTAAGTCATAATAATTTTAAAAAATATTGAAAATTCACTTGACAGGAATTTGATCTTATCGATTATTATGTGATAGCGCATATTCTGTTTATGCTGTGTACGCCATATCTTTATTTGATATTTATTAAGGTATGTTTATTTTTCCTTTTTTGTTGTTGTTGTTTTTTTAATTATTTTTGAATAAGATTTATATTCTCGTTTACAAGCGATATTATTATTGTTATTATTTCCTTGGACTCCGAGAGGAGCATAGGGCTTCAACAGTACATCTCCGCTTTCTTCTGTTTGCTGCTATCCTCTTCAGCTGGCTGGGTCCACGAGGTGCTGCGCATAATCTCTCATCTCCTCCATGTCACCCTTGAATTAACGACCCAGTCGTACTCGCTTCCCATTGGGATTCCTTGTCGAACATTGGCATGTATCGAGCGCGGTGTCAATCGATCGATGACCTCCTCACTAGTGTATGTCCGAATCAGTCCATCACCATCATCTCCCACATATTTGTTGAGCAATCAATCGACTCTTATTTGGTTTGTGTGCTGTACTCTCCCCACTTCTCTTTTCTTTCTCTCTACATGACTTACTATCTTCAAATGACATTAATTTTGCCAAATATGCTGATGACCTGACTGTATCTTTGCCTGTCAAATGTCAAAGTGACTGCTCTAAACTAAATGGCTTTCTGTCAGAAATCAGTCAGTGGTCCAAATGCCAAACAGTCAATTTCACCTTTAGGCATAAATCTGACCTAAACAAACTGGTTAGCACTCACGAGGTGTGCGACATAGATGTCACTGAAATAGAAACTAAGTCGGAAATTAAATACCTAGGTGTCATTCTATCTGCTGATCTTTTCTGGTCGTCCCATATCTTGGCGATTTCTAAGAAAATATTCCGTCTTACCTTCTACATCAAGAAGTTAAAACATTCTGATATAACCCAACCCTTACTCCTAAAATTCGTTAACTCTTGCATCCTGCCTATTATTCGCTATTGTTCCCCACCCCCAGTTTTTCCCGGGTTACTGAAGAAAGACTATAACATATTACACAGGATGTTAAAGGTTGTCAGCAGGGTAAGCAACGTGCCACTTAACCAGCTTGTTAATATTCTGGTTGACAGGCACATGGACTCATGTGAAAAATGGGCCAAATTCATTTTATCCAACTCACACCACCCTCTTCACTCACAACTCTCCCCTTGCATCTCATCAGGCAAAACCAGAAGCCTATATAGAAAACTATATGCTCGCACCAGCAAGTACAAAAACTCAACCATACCCTACTTAGCTCGTGTTCTGTGCGATGAAGAAAGCATTCGGGGTGACACCTATAATTCATTAAATAGTCAGTAGTGCAACTGGATCTCGTCTTTCCAACTCACATCATCAATAAGTATAACATTTTCTTTCTTTCTTTTCCTTTTCTCTCTCTTTTTCCGTTATGTGCTGCTTTGTTTCTTTCTCCCGCTTATGCCAGTAAACACCTTCAAACACTGTTCAACTTTGGCTTTGCTACCGACATGCCAATATGTTGTTGTCATAATGAACTGAGACTTCCTTAATCTATGTACAATTATATTTATTGATAATGTACTAACTGGATGCAATACTGTAGTAAAAAAATGCTGAGAATTCCATTCTGTATCACAAGTACTGTTTTGCAATAAAGCAAATTATTATTATTGTTCCAATGCAGAGTTTTTGTTGCTGATTCTTTCTATTTGCTTTTGAGTATGGAGCCAGCCAGAGAAGAAGTGGGCAGGTGTTGATGAAAGTCTTCACCTGTTTGTTGGAAGTGCTTTTCGTGACTGACTCACGTGGAGTGCAAGTTTCGCACCCGTAGAGAAGAGCTCAGTGACTGACTGCCTGACTTGACATCTGTGTTGAATAGAATCCGAATCTATCTTGTTCTTCATGCTGGCTGGCTGGTTGGCTGAGTGAGTAAAGCAAAAGATTTCCAAACTGGTTTTAGGTTGATGAAGGCGTATCTTGCCTTTCCGATTGTGGCTGACTGGCTTTGACATCTTCATCTGACTGCCCACCTGCCTGCCTGTGATTGAAACCGTTCTGGCTTCCTAGCTGGCTAGATAAGTGAAGGCAGGAGGTAACCTCTTTCAGGCTTCTCTCTCCCATTGATAGTGGTTAGTGCTGGTTGTTGTTGCTTTTGGCTGGTTGGTTGGTTGATTGGTTGGTTATCTTCATCACCTCCGCCTTCCCTATGTTCACCTGGAGTCAGTCTTGTCTTTTCTGCCTGACTATTAGTCTTAGAGTTTGTACTTGTGTGTGCGACATTAAACATAAATCATCCACACGCGAAATACAGATGTTCTACAGTCTTCTTATCGGTCAATGCAACGTATCTCCTTTTTCTCTCTCCCTGTGCACTGTCTAGCGCATAATCCAGTCCACCACAATGACGAATATCATCGGCGATATTGGGTGGCCGGCCTTGTCTTACTCCTGTATTCACTTCGAACGCCTCGTTGAGTTTTCCGTTACGCATCACCTGACACTTGGCTGCAGGCATTGTCATATGGCCAAGTGTTGAATAAGGTTGATAAAGAATTGAGGTACGCCATAGTGCTGAAGTAGTTTCCAAATTACTTCTCGGTGAACGCTCTCTGTTGAAGGCCTTTTCGAAGTCGATGAAGTTGAGGTAGAGAGTGGTGTGTCTGCTATTCTGTGCTTTGTTCAATGACAAAGCCTGACAGTACTAATTGCCAGAGAGAGAAAAAGGCTCTCAAGTGGAACCGACATGGGCAACAACGAGTTGCATATTCGTCGTATATATATATATATATATATATATACCGTTTAATTAAATCGCTGTTAAATTTTGTTGCATGATACACTTTCCCTCTGTTTATGTTTCTTCTATTTCTTCAAATAGATTATTCCATCATTTATACTGAATTCATTTATCATACGTTCAATATTGGGTTTAGTTATTTTCACTTTTTGGAGTTATATTATGCTATGGATTGTTAGTAGTATAGAATATTCTGGAGTTATGATTTTATACAATATATCTGGAATAATTCTACTGACATATTTGTAAGTACACTTATTTATTTATTTTTTTGTGTTACCGTTGTGTGCGTGTGTGTGTATATATAGCCATGTTGAGTATGGATGATAATGGAGATAACTATTATTTATATTTAATTATGTACTGTTGTAACAATAGAAGACAAGCGACAGGTAACAGAACGTTTATTGAGAAAATCAACAGATATTTATAGATTTTTATGTACATTATTACTAGCGTTATTGTTGGCAGAGAGGCGACGTCTTCTGATTGGTTGTTTTCCGACTAAAGGTTATCCTGTCATCTCTTTGTGGCCGTTTCTTTGAAGGTCAGACCATATGTCTGCTAATCGTATCCCCCCACGCAAAGTCTGCTGTGATTGGTTGTTGAGTTCCTCAAAGTTAAGCTTTGTTCCAGTATTTACCAGTATTATGGAAAATTGTGTGCATACTACTGATTGATTGAGACACGAGTAGTAGTGTTTGTTAGCCAGCTAGATCGAAGTAATCTAAGCATGGAACAGTGGCTGTTGGGCGAAGTTAAAGTGTCCTAGACAAAGTTAAGGTCGCTCAAAAGTTGACCTTTGAGAACCAATCAGATGTAGGGAATGCTATGAAAGGTTATGCCAAATCAAATCATACCTGCCTCTAGAGTTTAAGAAGGTAGATACAGTATTTACTTATTCCCTAGGTACTTTTTCTGTAAATCTATACTGTTCGTTGGGGCTATCTGTCTGCCTGTTTTCAACATAGAACCTTGCACTAATGTGCAACAGTTCAAGTCGCCACACATCATGTAGCACACAAAGCAAGAGAAGAAATGCAAAATAGAGACAGTAAACAGAGATATGAGGCAAAAACAATAGTAATATCGAAGAACAATATAGTTTTATTGGAAATTATAAGTCACAAGGAGTGAATGCATCTGCGCCAGCCTTTGAGAATAATTTTGAGCCTTATCACCGATTGTCTCCAGTCGCCACCATTGATTTTTACCATCTCGGGGATCCCAGCCGGGAAGTCTATACCTTCCTACGTGACCTAAACTAACTGTTGTGGATTTCATTGACTGATGCCATGTTTTGGTTTGATCACCACTGGCTCTTTTCCAACCTTATCTTATGTTAACTAACATTGCCCGTCGAGGAAGGTGATGGCTACGCATGCGTAACACACCTCAATCGACTTAACTTCACAGCCTCGTCGATTGATTCCCACTCCAAATCACCTAGCACTCAACCGACGCCTAACCTCAATATTGCTCACCTTATTATACCACTTCACACAGGAGATAGAACGCAGGCACCTATGATCAAAGACAGCTAGCCGTTTCATGTCTTCCACTTCCAATGACCAGGTCTCACAACCAACCATAAAGGAGAATGGAGCGAACTGCCGGGCGGCACACATGCCCTTTAGTCGACAGCCAACCGGATATCACGTCTACTAAGCCAGAGATGGCGTATGCGAAACTAGCTGTCTGCATCCGTACTGATATTTCGTTAGCGATCAACCTGTTGGTGCTGGCTGATGCGACTTCCCAAAAAAGTGAAGCAGTCAACGTGCTCTACCACTTCACTTCCTATTTCTAATCTAGGAGTCGGTGTAGTCCAATCCTGTAACATCATCTTACATTTGTCCGGAGCGAATCGCATGCCAAACATTCGTAGATTGCAGTTCAAGGTGTTCAGAAGACTCTGCATTTTGTCAGCGTCTTCACCTAGGAGGGCTCTATCGTCGTCATATTCTAAGTCAACGAGATTATTCCCTGGTAGCAAGTCAATCCCTGAGTCTCTGAAGTTAGTTAGAGTTAAGTCCATTAATAAAATATCTATGATGAAATTGAATAGAAATGTGGATAGTGGGCATCCTTGATGGACACCACTAGTTGTCACCACTTTAGACGACAACTTGCCGTAAGCCCTCACCTGACTGCATGAGTTCGAGTAGAGTGCCTTGGTCAATGCAATGCATTTTCTTGGCATTCCGTTTACAGCCAAGCATCGGTTGGAGTGTGACTTTTTAGATTGATGTTTATGGTTAAGGTAGGATTAGGGTTAAAGTTGGGTATAGGGGCTAGGCTTATGGTTAGAGTTAGGAGTATGTTAAATAATAGTGTCAGAAATATCGATGGATCTTAAAGTACCATGATCTGCAGTCATCTGAATAAATGCGTTTATCGCGCATGGTATGATTTCTCTATCGTTCGTCTGAGTAGTGACTTGGAGACATTCTTACAACGCATAAACGAGAACTATATCGTGTAATAACATGTTTGCAATGTTTGGTTTTTTAGTGAATTTTTCAACGATTATGTGACTTTTTGCACCTGAATTCTGATTGGTTGTTCAAGGTCGCTATCGTTTTGGCTATGCTAGTTTAACTTTGCCAGGCTGTTTCACTCATTTGGAGGCTAAGTTCATCACCAGTGTAACCGGTATGACAACTCAGTTTAGAGAAGGAAAACACTTCACAAATCAATCGATTTTTAGCTAGCTAGCTAGCTAGTTGGCTACTTGGGCGCACACTGGTGATATCACATGAGATAAACGCTTAGAATTGTGTAGTAAACCGTGGTTGTCTGTACTTGTTGTATGTGAATGTTCGGTGTATCCATGTCTATAGGTCAACCGCGTGTAACGATGTTGTTTATTTCTGTTTGTTTGTTTGTGTGTGTGTGTGTGTCAAACTGCTTGGCTGAAATAAGGATTTGCTTCGCTTATGTGAGTGTTCTCATATGGAGCTATCGATGCTTCTCAGTACACCTTTATTTTACCACACTGGTAGATATTCGAGTATTGGTTTGTAGGGATTTGATTGATTGGTTACAGGATTTCATCATGAGCTGACATTGGTTAGAGAACCATTGGAAAACCACAACTACAGTACAGGACAGCTGTTTCCTCAGCCTAGTTTGGGATTCTTTGGTAGTACACACCCACCGGGGTTCTAACCCAGGACCTTCTGGTTACAAGGCGAGCTAGCTCGTAGACCATTTAGCCACTGGGACCCGATCCAGTGGCCCATGAATTCTAACTTCTACCAATTCACGACATAGTGCGACCGCTAGTCAATGTCTTCGGTGAGTATTTGTCCTCACACCCGACCACCTGCTGCGCCCTACTGGTCACGACTTCTCACTAGAACCCCAGGTAACCACTTACCTGGATAGATTTTGAGCCCCGGTGGGTGCGTACTGATGAAGAGTCCCAAACTAGGACGAAACAACTGTCCAGTACTCCCAGGTTTTCCAATGGTTTTCTAACCAATGTTGGCTCATGATGAAATCCTGTAAAACACTGGTGGATATTCCTGAACGAGAACGAAAAATCAAGTTTCTAGAGCAACGGTCAGTATAACTCGCCCCCCCCCCCCACAAGCACAGTTGAATTCGTAGATACAATTAGAAGTGACTAGTTTAGTCCAGTCTAGGTATTTCATCTTTCAATTGGGGAATCACCACCGGTCGTGTAGAAAATAAGACTTTTAGGTTACCAGGATTAAAAGTTCTTTGAACACCTGGTCCAACCTGGTCACAAAACTAGCATTGAAGAGTCCTTCTCCATCATCTTCTATGGGGTACCAAATAAATTGCCAAAAACATTCAGGTACCGCATACTCGAAACAGTGGAGGCTATGGCGATTCGTGTGAAACAACTGGTGCTCTGTGTGTGTGTGTTCAGAAGAAACACGTCCAGCCAGCTACTTCTACTGCCTTGGCCGGCCTTCAGTTGTTAATCACACTAATTCACTCACTATTATGATGAAGAGTAGTTTGTTGAGAAGAATATTCTTTGTTCAGTAACCATTCTTTTGAAAAAAATTTTAATGCGCACTTTTAATCAATTATAATTGAGAATAATAAAGTGGTTAATCAATTTAATGTTATTATGATTAATGTATAAAGAAAAGTGCTTGTGTCATGTGGACTGAGTTACATACAATTTGACGCATATCTAATTTTCAATATTTGGTTTGTAAGGATTAGATTTGTTTTGACGAGTTGATCACGGATTGATATCACTTGGAGAACCATTGAAAAGCAGTACTGGAGTATTGGACATCTGTTTCATCAGCCTAGTTTGGGACTCATAGGCAGTACACACCCACTGGGGTTCAAACCCAGGACCTTCCGGTTACAAGGCGAGCGAGCTCGTATACCATTCAGCCACTGGGATCTGACTGGCTACAGGAATGAGTTTCCCGGAGTCGTGACCAGTGAGGATGGAGTTCCCACCGATGACATTGGTTGGTGCCACCAGTCGCGCTAAATCACGAATTTGTAGAAGTTAGAATTCATGGGCTGGCCATTGACGAGTGGGGTCCCATTGGCTGAATGGTCAACGAGCTAGCATGCCTTGTAACCGGAAGGTCCTGGGTTCGAGCCCTTGTCGTGGGTGCGTACTGCCGATGATTCCCAAACTAGGATGAAACAGCTGTCTGTCCAGTACTCCCTGGCTGGTTTTCACTGGTTCTTTAACTGATATCAATCCGTGATCAACTCGCATATATGATTACTCATCAATTCGGGTTTTTTCTAAGGATTCGGATTATTTTCAATGCATATTTCGTCACGAATGGACACCGTTTAGCGGTAATTTAAAGCGAGGGAGCACTGGATAGCTTCGTCCTAGATTGGGCCTCGTCATCAGTGTACACCCAGGACCTTCAAGTCGAAAGGCCAGCACACTAACCATTCAGCCACTGGGGTGAACAAATCCTAACTTCTGTCGATTTATGATATAGAGCTACCGTCAACCAATGTCATTGAAATGCTTTCGCTTCATATATGAATTGATGGATCCCACTAGTCATGACTTCTCATTACAGCTTCGAAACATCCCTCCAGTAGCCATGAAATTCGCATTGAAACCCTGTGTTTGGCGGAACTCAGTACTTCAACTATTGAATCATAAATATTTTTATGATTGTGTGAAATACTAATATCGTGGTTATTAATAAAGACTGACTGGTTTCAACGTAGAATTACTTTACACAGATGTGCAACAGTTCGAGTTGCCTCATTCCCTCCATGTAGCACACAAAGCAAGAGAAGAGAGTAAAGAGAGAGATACTAAACAGAAGTTTGTGGGAAAAACAATAGTAATATGCAGAGCAATAGAGATTTTTATTGGATGTGACAAATCACAAACAATGATGAGTGCATCTATGCCATCAATGAGAAGGATATTGAGCCATATCACAAATTGTTTCCAGCCTTCATTGGTTTTTACCATCTTGAAGACCCCAACCAGTCAGTGAGGAAGTCTACAACTCCGTACCTGGCTGGCATAACAAATGTTCTAAGCACCTCTTTCAAACTATGTAACTTCACAACCTCGTCAATTGATTTTCCCTAACTCACCTCGACTCCTAATCTCAGTATTGCTCATCCTATTACATCGCTTAACACACACGGCAGATAGAATGCAGACACCTATGATCAGGAACACCTAACCAGCCTTTTCACATCCTCCACTTCCAATGGGGGTCATGTCTCACTCACAGCCAGCCATATAAGAGGACAGAGCGAACTGCCTCTGAGCAGTACACACGTACTTTGTTAGACAGCCATCCAGTCGGATATCACGTCTACTAAGCCAGAGATTGCGTAAGTCAGCAGGCAAATGCCAAACGAGCCTTCTGTATCTGTGCGGAGATTTCGTCAGCGATCAACCTGTTGGTGATGGCTGATGCAAATTCCCGAATAAGTGAAGTGGTCACGCTCCTCCAACAACTTCACTCCTGTCTATCTTTAAGCTAGGAGTGCATCTATGTAATTCAGTCCTGTGGAAACATCTTACATTTGACAGCAGGAGCGAATCGCATGCCAAACACTAAAAGATTGCTCACTTCTCAAGGTGTTCAGAAGACTCTGTCTCATTTTGTCAGTGTCCTCCACTACGAAGGAGGACTATATCATCTGCATATTCTCAGACAACAGTTATATGCATCCATAATAGTGAATGAATGAATTAGTGTTATGAATAACATTAATGTTGTTTAAATAACATCGAATCAATCAATAATATTGATAGATTACAGCTCAATAGCATCAACATAAAATAAGCTGAATGTCAGAAAAATTAGGAAATTCATGAATTTATCGTCTCTACTGAAGGCCTGCCAGGGCAGTAGTAGTGGCTGGCTGCACTTGCTTCTTTTGAACACAGGACACTGGTTGTTTGAGGCGAATTGCAATAGCCTCTGCGGTTTGGAGCATTAGGTGCTTCGATGATTTTGGCAATTTATTAGGCACCCGGTAGATTATAGAGAAGGATTCTTCCACGCTGGCTGGCTTTATGGCCGGTTTGCACCAGATGGTCTAATATCGAACTGTTAATGGTTTTAACTAAACCTTTACTTAGCCATACTGGCAGATGTTCTCGAGCTGGCACGAAAAATCAAGTTCCTAGAGAGCGAGTGACAATATAACTCGTTGAACAAGCGCGTTTGAATTGGTAGATACAATTAGAAGTGGCTAGCTAGTCTAGGTACTTCATCTTTCAGTTGAGGTATCACCATCGGTCGTGTAGAGAATAAGACGTGTAGTTCGCCAGCATTAAAAGTTCTTTGAACTGATTTTCCTAACTTCTTCGTAATTATCTCACTTGGTATATCGATCGCCCTTGAATTGTAGTCGTATATATAAAGTGACTTCTTGTTCTTGCAGACAGTTAGTAGTCTTTTCCCTGGTAACAACAAATCAATCTTCTTCTCCGTGAACTTGAGTCATAAATGTTCAGTACAAATCTTGACGAATTGTCTATCTAAAATTACCTTGACTTTATGTATGTACAGTCACCTCACCATCCTTGTTCATTGCATAATGCTTGTTATTGTTTTGCTTAGATTTTTAAAGAATTTCATCCACACTTTATATCTTCCTATTTTCTTTTTCTCACCTTCTTTCTCTGTTTGTTTTATATACACATACCATGGATAATATTTCAGTCCTGTGATAACATTTATCATCTATCATTTTCGGTATTTGGAGAAAATGATTTATCCTTCCAATCGATATCGACATCCTCAACAGCAACAACAACATCAGCATTACCACCACCACCAACATCACCATCATCATCATCACCAGCAGCAGCAACAACAACAACACTACAATACTACAACTGGTGGTGGTGGTGGTGCCGGTAACAATAGTAATTACCAGAAAACTTCATCTCATTCCACTTTTGCTCGTTTAATACATTTTCTGAAGGTTAGTTCTTTCTTATTATTATTATCATTAGTGATTGTTGATTGTGTGAGGGCTGAGACACTTACTTCCCGGACGCCCAGACAGAAGCAGGTGGTTGTCTTAAGGGAACACCCCTGCCCGCCCCCCCTCCGAGCCTTTGAGCCTTTGGAGTCTAATCCTCAAGATATCTGGACAGCGTCAGCAGCTATGTTACTTCCCGACTGCCCACACCGTGGAAGTTGATTGATTCTTCGAGTACCTGAGACAGAGAGAGAGAGAGGGTTAGTGTTGCGTAGCAGCAGAGCCCAGCGGACAACTGCTTGAGGCCAGCCAGTCACACACGGCCTGTATGAACTGGTTTCTTGGTTTGGTTCCGTATTAGTAAACTTACCGCCGGTTATGGACCACCGTAGGTGAGGTAAGTCGGGATGTACAATTTTCGGGGTCGACCTTTCCTAACCCCCTCTCTCCGGAGTGGTCATCTGGGGGAAACACCTTACTGCTGTTACATCCCTGTTCCCCAGCAGTACGACTTCGCCCTCAGACCCCCAGCATATAGTGTAAGAAAGATTCTTACACAATTCCGGTAACTGCTTTTAGTCAAATCGCTATCCTAACAACCTTCCTGGCATAGTAAGACCTGCAGGAACAATAGTTCCAACCAGTGTAGCTTGTTGGGTCATTGCGATATGCAATCCCGACTACCAAGTCAAGATAGCAGCTATCGGTTGGGGTGAAGACAAATACTCGCCACAGGTGACATCGGCTGACGGTCGCACTAAAAGTCACATATTTACAAAAGTCAGAGTTCATGTGCCATTGGATTCTATCCACGTGATGACTATATGGTCAACGAGCTTGTCTCGTAACCCTAAGGTCCTGGGTGCGTACTGACTGCTGAGGGGTTCCAGACTAGGCTGGCGAAACACATGTGTAGTAATCCCTGGTTTTAAATGATTCACCTACTGATATCAGTCCTTGGCCAAACTAAAAAGCAATTAATTCCTAAAAGCTAACACTTCATTTGGCATATGAACCAAACGGGGTCCAGCCTTCAAAGCACCTATTGGTTGACAAAATTTTGTAGTTTTCAGCGTACTACTAATAAGTAGTCAAAACGTTCTTAGTAAAGAAAGTCAAAATTGCAGGCTTTATGAAATACACTTGAGTACACACAGTATTGACTAACAGATATATTCTAGTATCAGTGGTGAGACTAGTCACCTTCCAAACATTAAACAGCCCAAGTGGATCAATGCGGATGAAATATGAAATGCATATTCACAACATTTTTGATGATCTTAGAACACGATTTAAGCAAGTGAATATGTATTTTGAGTAGATTTTCATCGGATTTTCCAATTAGATGATAAGATGCCAGTCACACACATTTGGATTAATGTGGATCAATAGAATCTAACATAATCAAGTCGAATAACAATAACGATAGCGGGGATAACTATTCTAAGTCGGGGTTAGGGGGCCATAGGAAGAAGTAGGATTGAACACATCTTTTCTGAACACAAAGATTGAACTTCTTACTAGGACATTAGGCAACTTCTTCCTATAGTTGGCTAGTCAGTAGTGATGAACAGCTTATTTTTCAAATCCTGGGAATTCTGACTAGCTACATAAGAGGCGAATCCGTAATATGTTGAATGAAAATTTATGTTTTGCATTGTTAGGCTATTCATGATAATATTTCAACACTGTTTTCTTTCGAAAACAGAAATCATCCAATACAAATATCGGTTTGTAGGGATTTGATTGATTGGTTACAGGATTTCTTCATGAACTGACATCAGTTAGAGAACCATTGGAGTACTGAACAACTGTTTCATCCCAGTTTCATCCGAGACTCTTCAACAGTACGCACTCATCACAGAGGTTCGAACCCGCAACCTTCTGGTTACAAGGCCAGCGAGCTAGCTCGTAGACCATTAAGCCACTGGGACTCGATCTTGTGGCCATCCCATGAATTCCAACTTCTGCCAGCCAATTCACGACATAGCTCGACTGCTAGCCAATGTCATCGCTGGCGCGAGTATTTGTCCTCACACCCGACCACCTGCTGCACCCTACTGGTCACGACTTCTCACTAGAATCCAGGTAGCTACCTATCTGAATAGGCCCAGTGGCTAGTGAGCATCCAAGTCGTGTGTTCCACTCGCAATTTGAAGTCTTAGAATAAGTCGTAGTTAATATGTAGATTAGATTCACGACAAATCTTGCGCAAATAATGTTGATTATTGTACATGTAGTACCTTTTCAATTAGTTCCTCATCGTTGGCTGGCTGGCTGTACACACTAACATTTAGTTTTTTACATCAATCAAGTGGTTATTTTAGTTGATCAGTTTTAGGTAGACCTTGGGGTGGGGGGTTGGGTGAAATTAAGAGGTTAAAAGTCATGAAAGCATCAATTAAGTAATAGATGTTAATAACAAGCTATCGAATAAAGTATAATTATATTTCAATAGTTTACACACAATGATAAGTTTTGTTATTGGTAATATTTCGAGCAAAATTACTGCCCGTGTTCACACCACTGTTGGAATTGTTTTATTCACACATTTATGATTTGTACTCATATATGTTGTTCATTATTTTTGCTCATTCATGTTTTTTTTTTTGCATTTGAGTTATATTCCACGTTCATTCATGTTTTTGTATTCAGAATTATATTCCAAGTTGTTGATAGTTGTACTGAGTCACCCTTGTTAAATGTATCTGGTGTGACTTTAATGAATATCGATTCTGTTATAAGTCTTTCTTTCCATTTGTTCATGTTAGTTTTAGGAATACACACATTGTTCCAATAGATATTGTGGTTTTTATTCCATGCATGATTTTTTTTCAAGATTCTTGTAGGCTTGTGTTCCTTTTTGTTGGCCTTTAGTTTGGCAGGCGTTTATGTTCATTCATTCTTATTTTGAATGATGATCTGGACGTTTGCCCCACATATTTAGTCGGACTGTCAGCACAAGATATTTTGTAAATCACATTACTGTGTTTATCCATCATTTTTATGGGATCTTTCAGTTAATTTATTTTATTTTTGATTAGATTCGTCGGTTTAAACGCTGTGCGAATCCCAATATTTTTGAGGTTTCTTTGAATTGCCTCTGATGTATCATTTTTATATGGTATTGTGACTGTTTTTATTTTTGCATTCTTCCATCTTGTTATTCTCCGTTTTTACCCTCTTTTTTCTAAAGAATAGACACGGAACAAAGAGTACTCTTTTCGATAAATTCATCATCAGGCTCTACAGTTATATATACACATTATAGTGAATGAATGAATTAGTCATATGAACGACATTAATGTTTAAATAACATCAAATCAATAATATTGAGAGATTACAGCTCAATAGCATCAACATAAAATAAACTCAATGTCAGAAGAATTAGGAAGGGTAATAGTACAAATTCATGAGTTTATAGTCTCTACTGAGGGCCAGGGCAGTAGTAGGGGCTGGACTTGTTTCTTTTGAACACAGAGCACTGGTTGTTTGAGGCGAATTGTAATAGCCTTTGCTGTTTGGAGTATGCGGTGCTTCAACGATTTTGGTAATTTGTTAGGCACCCGGTAGATTATAGAGAAGGATTCTTCCACGCTGGCTGTCTTTGTGTCCGGTTTGCACCAGATGGTTTAATATCGAGCTGTTAATAGTTTTCACTACACCTTTACTTAGCCATAGTGGGATATGTTCTCTTTTTTCTCTTATCTTTTATAAATTCTTTTGGGTAGTTATTTTTGAGTAGCATTTTGAATAGGACGTTTATTTCTTTACACTGGTCCTCTGGCGTTGTTGTAAGTCTCGAAATATTAGCAATAACAAAACTTATCATTGTGTGTAAACTTTATTGAAATATAATTATGACTTTATTTGATCTAATCCACAATGCTCAAACTTTTTACTGATATTAAGCTATCTAAGTTTTGAAGAAGAGAGGTATGAAAATTAAATAATTATAGATTTAAGATAAGTTAATTCTTAGGTGTTAGCAACAAGTTATCACGTAATCAAGAGATTTGTAGAATAATGATGGTGACTCAGAAGAATTACGTAGAATGCAAACAAGTATATAGAATTAGCTAGAATTTTGAACATCAAGAATGTCAAAAGATAATTACAAGAGAACAGGAAAAATCTTTTTTTTCAAAACTTAACTTAGCCGTGTTGAAAGCTAAGTTATGGTGTATATTCACTAGCTAACCAATACTTAGTTCAAGAAATAAAGACAAACTGCCCTGTTTCTTTCGTCTCTTCCATGTGTATTTGCTAGTTTAGCTGCTCGTGAGGAGCTAGTTACATCGGGTATACGATCAGGCAATGCCATCACCGAATTTCTGAACACTTCGCATCTTGGTTTGGATAAGGTCCGAATAAAGCTATACACACCATAATACTAGCTCATCTTGTCGATGCCGACTGGACATCAAGTCGATTATAACAAAAGTTTCAAAATTATTTATCATATATCACCCAACCTATCGCCGCATGGTCTACGAGTACGACTTTTACATATATTATATACAGCAGAGGCAATCGGAATTCATCTGAACAAACCGAATCTATGCGTCAGTTCAGAAGCAATTTATACAGCCCCTTTTCTCCCCATGGCCAACTACATAATATGTAGCAAAAATATTCATTCAGACATCTATAAAACACAAAATAATCGAGCAAAGAATATTCTTTTCGATAAATTCCTCTTCTGGCTCTACAACCATATATATGCATGTTTATATACATAGAATATTCTAGATTAGTTGTCAATAACAATATTAATGTTTTTTAAATACTATCGATTTGTAAAGTAAGATCACAATGGAATTACAGTTCATTAAAGATGCTTAAATTATAATAGTAATAATAAAGATATAGTAGCGAATAGAATATCAACTAAAATTAGGAAAATTCCACAAAAATTCTGGATTATTCAAACCTAGATGGCCAAGGTAAGGATAATGTCTGAACTAGCTTCTTTTGGACGCACAAATTAGGCTTCTTAATGTGGATCCCAACAGCCAGCCTCAGCAATATTTAGTGGTCGAACTCTTAAGGCAAAATTGAGATTCGTAGGTATGTGGTAAATGACTCTGAAAGCCACCTTGTTGACATCAATCTTGTGTTCCGTATCCACAAGATGAGATAGAATAGCACTGCGAATAGATTTTGTTTGTCCTTTACTCAACCACCATGCGGGGTGATGTTTGGAAATTCGACGAGAAACACGCGTAATTGTACGGCCTATTCAACTATCTGGCTCACTTCACACGAGCAGTCAAATTAGTGGGTAGATACACATGGAGGAGACGAAATTAGACAATTTGTGTTTTACTCCCGAACGCATAATAGGCTGGGTGGTTTTGAAGACACACAGCATAATTTGGCAGCAGGGAATGTTCTTTTTACCGCATTTCTAAGGCGCTGTGTTAGCATCTCGCTGATGTTGTATTAAGTTTTGCAAACGATTTCCCACCTCCCCTTGTAACTATCTTTTGACTTTGTTATTTTTACAATTCCAGCTAATTCTATTAACTTTTTTGTATTTTACGTTATTCTTCTGAGTCGCCACCATTATTTTACAAATTCCTTGATTATGTAATAACTTGTTGCTAGCGCCTAAGAATTAACTTATCTTGAATTCCGCAATTAATCAATTAATTTCCAACCCTTGTTAGTAACATTTATTAGTTAGCCGTTTTGATGACTTTTAACCACTTAATTTCAACCGCCATTCGCTTAGGTATGCCTAAAACTGATTAACTAAAACAACCACTTGATTGGTAAAACAAAATTTCGATGTTAAAAACTATATATTAGTGTGTAGAGCCAGCCAGCCGACGATGAGGAACTCATTGAAAAAGACTACATATTTCTTCGCTCAGTCAGTCGTTGTTTTTTTCTAAACGCGTAAATATTATTACTATTTATTTTTATTCCCTTGGGTTCCTAGTGGAACATAGGGCTTCAAAAACACATCTCCACTTTCTTTTATCTTCTACCATCCTCTTCAGTCTGGTCCGCGATAGCCTAAACTCTCTCATCTCTTCCTCACACGATCTCCTCCATGTCAACGTAGCACTGACCCACCCACTAGTCGCTTCCCATTTGGATTCCACTCGAAAGCTTGGCGCGAGTTGTCATTCGACGGTCTCCTTAGTGGCGTGTATACTCAATCCATCTCCATTTCCTCCTACATATTTGTTGAGCGATCGGCTCTTCCTTGGTTGGTTTTTTCATTGCCAGAGTTTCTTGTTACTTATTCTTTCTGGCCTGCCATTTGATCTTCAGTATGGAGTCAGCGAAGGGGGCAACTGTTGATAAAAGTCTGCAGAGGCCTGACCCGTATAGAAGGACGGACTTGACATTGGTATTGAAAATCCAAATCTTGTTCCTGATGCTGAGTGTAGAAGATTTCCAAATTGGTTTCAGGTTGATGAAGGTATATCTCGCCTTTCCGATTCGGACTGGCTTTGACATCTCCATCCGTTCCGCCTGTAGTTGAAACAATGCTTCCTGGCCAGATAAGTGAAGGAGGTAATGTCTGTTTAATCTTTCCTGTTGATGGTGATTGGTGCTGGTTGTTGTTGTTGCTGTTGGCTGGTTGGCTGGTTGGTTATTTTCATCACCTCCGTCTCCACCTTCTCTATGTTTACCTGGAATCAGTCCTGTCCTGGCTGCACTCCTATTTTAGCCAGTTTGTTGGTTTTCTCCTGCCTGCACTTCTTCGAGTTTTTGTGTGATACCAGACATATATCTTCTAGAGTCAGTCTTCTTATCGGTGGTTCAGTGTATTCCTGTCTCCTCGCTCTCCACAGTCTGACGCATAATCCAGTTCACCACAATTGAGAATATCATCGGTGATAATTGGCACTTTGAAGGCCTCGCTGAATTTTCCGTTGTGAATCACCTGACACATGACAGCAGGCACTGTCATATAGCCAGCTGTTGAATGAGGTTGATAAAGACTTGAGCACTACACGCCATAGTGTTGAAGTAGTTTCCAAATTACGTCTCGGTCAACGCTGTCTATCGAAGGCCCTTTCGTAGTCGATGAAGTTATTGAAGTAGAGGACTGACTACGTAAATAGGAATTTGGAATTTTTACGATATCAGTTAGAGAACCATTGAAAACCAGTACTGGAGTACTGGACAGACAGCTGTTTCATCAGCCTAGTTTGGGAATCATCGGCAGTATGCACCCACCCCACAACCAGGGTTCAAACCCAGGACCTTCCGCTTACAAGGCAAACTCGTATACCATTCAGCCACTTGGACCCGATTCAATGGCCAGCCCATGAATTCTAACTTCTACCATTTCGTGATTTAGCGTGAGTTTCCTGGAGTTCTAGTGAGAAGTCGTGACCAGTGAGGTCCATCCAGATGTCATGTGTGTGGATGGATGTCCCACCAACGACATTGGTTGGGGTCGCGCTAAATCACGAATTGGTAGAAGTTAGAATTCACGGACTGGCCATAGAATCGGATCCCAGTGGTTGAATGGTATACGAGCTTGCCTGAGCTGTAACCGGAAGGTTCTGGGTTCGAACCCTGGTTGTGGGGTGGGTGTTTACTGCCGATGATTCCCAAACTAGGATAAAACAGGTGTCTATTCAGTACTCCAGTACTAGTTTTCAGTGGTTTTCTAACTGATATCAGTCCGTGATCAACTCGTAAAAATATAACTATCCCTTACAAACCAAATTGTAGAAAATTTGGAATTTACTAAAAAATATAGTTGTTTTTCGTTTTTAATTATTATATCTAGTATAACATCGAAACGTCCGCCAGGTAGGGAATCTCACCTGAGAAATGTTCAACTGCATTTTCTTCTTACCAGTGCGTCATATTTCATATCTATTGCATAAAATTCTATCCCTTTCAGGTTTTATTCTCATTCACTAAACAATTAATTGGCATATTTACAAATTGGCCATGTATATCCTCGAAGAATGCCCTATTCCCTTTATTGTATACATCTATTTCATCGCCAATAGTATCATCGGCGTCACATTCAAGAAATAATAATAAGTCATCATTAATACAAACAGCTTATTATACTACTGCTAATAATACTACTACTACTAATAATAATAATAATACTGCTACAAGTGATAACAATTCAGATGAGTTTATTTTACTGAAACATCATTGTCTCGGTGTAACACCTGAACAGATACGTGATGAAGTCGAATTAAATCGATATGATTTCAATGCAAGACTGTTGGATATTTTAATTGGTACTGGACATGTTGTCTATTATGCATGCTTTCTACCAATTGTATTTGTACAGGTATGTTTATGCGTATTCGTGTTCGTGTGCGTTTGTGTGTGTTTGTGTTTGTGACCGTATATGACATTTTTTGAAAGGTTTTTATATATGGTGGTGGTGTTGGTGGTACTTTCAAACCGTACACTGACTGATTGACTGGACTAACTGACTGGTTTCAACACAGAAACTTTACACTGATGTGCGGCAGCAGTTCGAGTTGTCACTCTGCAAGAGAAAAGAGTAAAGAGAGTAATTCCATATTAGTTTGTTTATTACAAGTATCACACAGCCAGTGAAACAGTATTATTATTTACTGGATGACAAGGTTTCGAACACAATCTAGTATTATTAAAACAATTAGTCCCTTTGATAAATTTGAATAAGGCATTAAGAAGACAAACTTCGCGAGATGATATCGTGATTTCGTAGTTTCTTTACAACCGCTTTACAACTAACATGGTTAACAATAATAAAATAAAGATCATGACAATTACTCAGTTAAATAAAAAATAAAAAAAAAGTACATACTAATGACCAATAATCACATTTAAATAGGTCAAGTAGTCCAGGGTAGGCGAAGATTGAAGTCTATTGATTTTTGTACACACAGTTTAGGCTGTATGTGATTAATCCAAAGTGCTTCCATCACCTTCAATAACCTTGAATTAGAGTTATGTGATGAAATAATTGTAAAACAGTCATTAATATTGATTTTGTGACCTGACATCAATAAGTGTTTTGCAATGGTTGATGCTGGATCTCTATTCAGATTACTGGCATTGGGATTTTCTATGTGATTTTGTAGCCATTTTGGAACATGTTCTTTCCGACGACATTGGAACATTCTGTTGGTCCTACCTATATAGGTGTCACCGCAGCTGCAGGTGAACTTGTAGATACAGTTTGAAGTAGAGTCCACAGAATTTCGTCCTTTAATCGTAGGTACAGGGATTGAAAATGTTCGGCAAGTGAGGAAAAGAGATGCGGCGTATAATGTGCGTTTGATGGCTGACCGAAGTGTTTGAGCTGTCAACTGCATAATCTGGTCACCCTTGAATGGTAGGTTAATAAAGATAGCTTTCTTTGGTACCGAAGCTGTCTTTTCGAGATGTGGTCTTTCTTTACTGTGACAAGTGATAAAGTTTTCCGGATAACCATTAGCTAATAATTATTTCACATAACTCTAATTCAAGGTTATTGAAGGTGATGGAAGCACTTTGGATTAATCACATACAGCCTAAACTGTGTGTACAAAAATCAATAGACTTCAATCTTCGCCTACCCTGGACTACTTGACCTATTTAAATGTGATTATTGGTCATTAGTATGTACTTTTTTTTATTTTTTATTTAACTGAGTAATTGTCATGATCTTTATTTTATTATTGTTAACCATGTTAGTTGTAAAGCGGTTGTAAAGAAACTACGAAATCACGATATCATCTCGCGAAATTTGTCTTCTTAATGCCTTATTTAAACAATCTAGTATTGTTTATAATCATTCCATCAATTATAATCACACGACTTCGAAACTTGAGTTTTATAGTTTTCTTTCTTCTCTCCTATTTGTCGTCGTTGAAGTAGTAGAAGTTTCCAGATATCTGGGTGGACAGGTGTTCGATCATTCCTATTACACGTACTGTCATCAGTTGATTCGATAAACAAAGCTTCTGTTGTTATCAATCTCTCCCTCCACTCGGTGATATTAGATTAGATTTTAAAACTGTCATCCTATCCCATCATCCTATTGCATGGTTGGTTGTATGTGATTGCATATGGTGTAGTGCTGTAGCTGAACTATTCCCCAGACTTTTTACCTTATTCGGGTCAACCAATCTAGATTTTGCTGCTAGGTTTTCGTGTTCGGTTAGTCTGACTGCCCCTGTTCTACTAGTTTGACCTATGTATTTCACCTGACAATCATAGCAATAGTAGGGTATTAGATAAACTAAATTGTTTTGTTTTAAAGGCTCCACAGGATTGATCCTCTAACCGACAAAGCTTGTTTCTAATTGAGTTTGTGGGCAGTTTGAATGCCAGCCACTTTTATTCTTGCCTTGTTAAGAATTCTCCGCCGTAAGTTTTCCGAGGTTCCTTCCTTGTATGGAATTACTACTGATGATTTGAATTCCTTATTGTTGGTGTTGTCTTGCGCATATTTGATATGCATGTCGTCATTATTATTATTATCGCTACTATCATTATTTATTTTATTTTTACATTTCCCTACATATTTATTGACTAATTTATCAGGGTAATTATTAAGTTTCACCGCTTCTTTTATGTATATCATTTCCTGTCTTAGATACACATAAAAGAAGCCTTGAAACTTGATAATTACCCTGATAAATTAATCAGGACGACAAATAGGAGAGAAGTAAGAAAACTATAAAACTCAAGTTTCGAAGTCGTGTGATTATAATTGATGGGATGATTATGAACGGTAATGAATTTTGTTCGAAACCTTGTCATCCAGTAAATAATAATACTGTTTCACTGTGCGATACATCTGATAAACAAACTTATATGGAATCCACGGGATGGAGTTGATAATAATGATTGATAAAAGTTCTGTATGTGATAGGAAGTGTGCGTTGATGGCACAGCGGTTAGGACGCTGCCCACCAACCAGGCACATAGTCCGCGGTTCGATCCCCGGCCAATGGACTCACTCCTTTACCTCGTTAAGGCAGAAATAAAAACTGCTGGTAAAGGTTGGGCATAAGGCGGCTAGCAACGCCACTACTGCTACAGAAACTTCAAGCCTCTAGCTTGAAGCCGCCCCTATGTTCCACCACTGGGAACGTGAAGGAATAATTATAGAAAAAAATGTGATAGGAATGCGGTAAAAATACAAATAATGTGTAAGTAGTAGCAGAACAACCTACCGAAAATCATCCAATATATACCGAGATCCATCTTTACCATATGAAGCTAGCACAATAGACGGACTTGAATAGGCATTAGATGATACCCAGACACAATGTGAAACAAACAGGTATAAAATGAATATAATTAACACATAGGCAACTGCACGTAGATTGTTGCCATTTGCTGGAGGTGATTGTTGGGATGATCGATTGGTTGCAGTTGTACTTGATGAAGTGTCTTGATCGACAGAATTCTGTTAAGAAAAGAGGAAAATAAGGTAAAAATCATAAAGTATAGATTTAAATATATTGTCACGTATTGGTTTTGTACGGATTTTGTTTAATTGGTTGGAGGATTTCATCATGAGCTGACGTCGGTTAGAGAAACATTGGAAAACCAGCACTGGAAAACTGGACAGTCAGCTGTTTCGTCAGCCTAGTTTGGGACTGACTCTTCATCAGCACACACACCCAACTGCCAGGGTTCGGACCCAGGCCAATTTATTTATTGTTCATAATCATATCACCAATTATAATCACAGGACTTTGAAACTTGAGTTTTATAGTTTTCTCTGTCTTCTCCTATTTGTCGTAGAGGTAGTAGCATTTTCCAGATGTCCGGGTGGACAGGTGTTGAATCATTCCTATTACACGTACTCTCTTCAGCTAATTCGATAAACAAAGCTTCCGTTATCAATCTCTCCCTCCACTCTGTTACATTAGATTTTAGAACTGTCATCTTATGCCATCATCCTATTGTATGGTTGTGTGTAATTGCATGTAGTGGGTGCTATAGCTAAAGTAACTATTCTCCAGATTTCTTATCTTATTTGTGTCAACCAATTTAGATTTTGCTCGGTTTTTATGTTCGGCTAGTCTGACTGCCCCTGTTCTACTAGTCTGACCTATGTATTTGACCTGATGACATGCATGTCAAACATGCACAAGGCAACACCAACAATAAGGAATTCAAATCATCAGTAGTAATTCCATACAAGGAAGGAACCTTGGAAACCACCTTACTCAGAATTCTTATAAAGACAGGAATAGAAGTGGCTGGCATTCAAACCAACCACAAACTCAATTAGAAACAAGCTTTGTCGGTTAAAGGATCTATCCTGTGGAGCCTTTAAAACACAGCAACTTAGTTTATCTAATACCCTGCTGGAATGACTGTCAGGTGAAATACATAGGTCAAAGTAGTGGAGCAGGTGCAGTGAGACTAGTCGAACATAAAAACCGAGCAAAATCTAGTTTTGTTGACCCGAATAAGATAAGAAATCCAGAGGACAGTTCAGCTGTAGCACTACATGCAATTACACTCAACCAACCATACAATAGGATAATGATGACAGTTTTAAAATCTAATGTAACAGCATTGTGGAGGGAGAGATTTATAACGGAAGCTTTGTTTATCGAATCAACTGCAAATACGTGTAATAGGGATGATTCAACGCCTGTCCCAGGTATGTGGAAAATTCTACTACTCCTACGACGACGAATAGGAGAGAATGAAGAAAACTACAAAACTCAAGTTTCGAAGTCATGTGATTATAATTAATGAAATGATAATGAACAATAAATGAATTGTGTACGAGAAGTCATCCAGTAAATAAGAATACTGTTTCTTCACTGTATGATACATCTAATAAACAAACTAATATGGAATTACTTACTACCACAGTGCCCAAGTTTTACACACATATATTAAAAAGAGTAAATAGAGATTTAAGAGAGAGAGATAAACAATAGTGTGAGGCAAAACGAATAGTAGTAAAGAAGAACAATAGAGTTTTATTGGATTTGATAAATCACAAAGAGTGATAAATGCATCTGTGCCATCTATTGCGAAGGATGATTTAGAGCCATATCACCAATTGTCTCCAGCTGCAGTCATCGGTATTGGTTCTCACCATCCCGAGGAGGACTCCAACCAACCAGTCAGTCAATCAGGAACACCACACCTCCCTATATGTCTGGTCGGCTTAAATTAACTGTTATGGGTTTGGTTACAGAATTTCATCATGAGCTGACATTGGTTAGAGAATCATTGGGAAACCTGCAGCGAGTACTGGACAGCTGCTTCGTCAGCCTAGTTTGCGACTCTTTAGCAGTTCGCACTCACCGACAGGGTTCGAACCGAGGATCTGCTGGTTACAGGGCGAGTGAGCTAGTTCGTAGACCATTCAGCCACTGGGACCCGACTCCTCAATGGCCATTTCATGAATTCTAACTTCTACCAATTTGTGATTTTTTGGGTGACCACACACGACATAGCGTGACCGCTAGCCAATGTCTTCGGCGGTGTCTCAATACCGAAACCAGTACTTGAATGTTATGGATTTATTTGATTGATTGATTGGCGAAGCCATGTTTTGGTTTGACCACCAGTAGTCAACTCTTTTCCAAAGTGATCCATTCTATGTTAGTCAGCTAGTATTGCCCGTTGTCGAGGATGACGATGGCTGGTCATACAGACGTCTAAGTCAGATAGATACCTAAAACCAAACAGGACTAAGGACTCAATAGTCGTAAAGAAGGAATCAACTGCAACCTCTTAATTTTAGTTGCTCATTGGTAGTAACCTTATGTCTAGTGAAACACGTGTAAACATGAATTAAGAGCATAACGGGTAAAGGAAAAGAGAAAGTCATAAGTATTGTTAGTTGTAATGACGTCAACATATGGACAATGTAGAAGGGTTGACTATGAAGATAAACTTATCACTAACTCATTTAAAGCTGATCATTGAATCCCGGAGTGTTGCGCTTATTTGACATTCTTCAGGAGGACTTCATGGCATTAGGAAGTATTCATAAAGGTTAGATGTATTTCTGAAGAATGACGGTAAATGGAAATATCTCTCTAAGGTTTCTTCAATCTATGCTTATTTGTAACAAAGGCTTTCTTTACCGGCCAGTATAACTCCGTTTCATCCAAGTTTAGGACCTATCGGCAGTACTCACCCACCACTAGGGTTCAAATCCTTGACCTTCCGGTTACAAGGCAAGCTTGTATATCATTCAGACACTGGGAACTGATTCATTGGCCCATGAATTCTAACTTCTACTAATTCGTGGCTGAATTGTATACGAGCTTGCCTTGTAACCGGAAGGCCCTGGGTTCGAAACCCAATGGATGCCTACTGCCGATGAGTCCCAAAGGAGGACGAAACAGCTGTTCAGTACTCCTTGGTTTCTAATGGTTCTCTAACTGATATCAACCCGCGATAAACTCGTAAGAGTATATATACGTTGTTTATCCGATTTCTTCATTACATTACAGAAAGAATATTTATATGTCGATTATTGGTGGTGCCTTCAACATTGCCTTCTGATTGGTTTATTAGTTTTCTTATTACGTTGGCATTATTTTCTACCGTGTGATTATATTGATCTGTTACATCGAAGTTCTATGCATCTTGGGAGTTGGGAGAATCTACTTGTTCGCAGTGGATTTTCACAAATTTCCACATGGTCAGCATCTGTTGTAAGTTTCCACTTTTCTACTGTGTTTTATTGTATGTTTTGTTTTGTTTTTAAAAAAAAAGTTTCTTTTCAGTTTAAGGAAGAGTAATGTCGATTGTAACGACTGAAGTCAAGGGTCAGGCAACAGATCGTTTATTGCGTAAATTAAGAGATATTTATATATTTTTATGTACATTATTATTCGTTATTACTAACAGAGAAACGGCGTCTTCTGATTGGATGTTCTCTTGCTGAAGGTTATTCTGTCATCTCTTTGTGGCTGTCTCTTTGAAGGTCAGACCTCATATCTATGACTCGTATCCGCCCACGCAAAGTCTGCTGTGATTGGCTATTGAGTTTGTTTTTGTTCTTGTTTTTTTTCTCATGACCCCGATTTGGGACGTAGACATTGACGTAAATTGTTGTCAACCAATTTTCGCTATCAGACATCTATCACCACACGGTGAATTGTTGACTTTCATTGGTGAACTGACATCGATTGGTGTCAAATGGCAGAAATCGTCTGGTAGGAGAAACTGTAAACCGTAATTTTGCATTTATGAAAAGGGCGAATAGGTTTAATTTTAGTTGTACTATTTTTGACTAATATATTTTTCCGAAGGAGTTCTGTATAAATGTTGCGTGTGTGAGACCACAGTTGGACAAGTGGTTGTCTTAATTTAGGAAGTTGCATCAGCCAACACCAATGGGTTGATCGCTGACGAAATGTCAGCACGAATACAGAAGACTCGCTTCACATACGCCATTTTATGCCATCTCTGGCTTAGTAGACGTGATATCTGGCTACCGACCAAAGGGCGTGTGTACTGCTCAGCAGTCCGCCCCATCCTCCTTTATGACTGTCTGTGGGACATGGCCCCCATTGGAAGTGAAAGACATGAAAAGACTAGCTAGCTAGCTGTCTTTGATCATAGGTGCCTGCGTTCTTTCACCTGTGTGTTAGGCGGTGGTATAATAAGGTGAGCAATATTGAGGTTAGGTGTCCGTCGAGTGCTAGGTGGGTGGGAGGGGAAATCAATAGACGAGGCTGTGAAGTTTCATAGTTTGAAAACGGAGGTTAGGACATGTGTTATGTATGCCTAGCCATCGCCTTCCCCGACAACAGGCAATGTTAGCTAACATAAGATAAGTTTGGAAAAGAGCAAGTGGTGGTCAAACGAAAACATGGCTTGATCAGTCAATGAAATCCCTAACAGTTAGTTTAAGCCACGTAGGAAGATGTAGACTTCCTGGTTGGAGTCCTCGAGACGGTGAAAACCAATGGCTGGAAACACTTGGTGATATGGCTCAAAATCTTTCTCAATGGCTGGTGCAGATGCATCCACTCCTTTTGACTTACAATATCCAGTAAAACTAAATGGTTCTTCCATATTGCTATTGTTTTCGCCTCATATCTCTGTTTACTGTCTCTATTTTGCGTTTCTTTTCACTTTCTTCTCTTGCTGTGTGTGCTTAGTGAAGTGTGGCGGCTCGAACTGCTGCACATCGGTGCAAAGTTCTACGTTGAAGCCAGTCATTCAGTCAGTCAGGTTGTCTTAATTAACCCTCCCTCCGCCAGCCTTTGACTTGAATTCTAATTCCTAAGACAGTAGAGCAACGTCAGGTCAGCTGTTTTTTTCTCGGAGTTGAAATTGTCCAAACCATTTTTTTACACCATTCATTCTGCTCGACTTCTGAGGTCCGTATCCATTAGAGGTCTGGAATCAGCGTTATCCAACTCACTTGGGTGGACCATGTATGTCCACCAACCTGTTGATGATTGCCAAATATTTGCATTCGTCGTTTTATATTTATTATTATCTCTGCCACATAAAAACGGTTAATAAGACCTAATTAGCAGAAGCTGTGAATATTTGACCATACGAAAGTATTATAGGTAGGAAGATTGGAGTCCATCAACTGTCATGTGGTGTATCTCGTCATATATTGGGATGAGAGTTGATTAAGGCTATGCGTTAGGCTTATATCATTAATATGGTTACGTGTATCAAGCATATTCTAATATGTTATTGAGAAATATTGATTTTTAACGGTTGACATTCGTTTAAATTGATTGATTTTCACTGATCTGAAACTTTTCATACAATCGTCCATGTTAATTGATTGAAGATGGGATTTAATCTTACTGAGTAATAATAAATATCAAAGTGGTCTCCCATTACAAGTCCATACTACAAGTGAGATTAAGTATTTCCTTCCAGTGAGACTAGTTGTAGCGAAACAAGTATCTTTGGAACGTTTAAGCAATCTGGAAATCCCTACCGATTTTCTATAGCTTGGTTTGTAAGGGTTAGTTATGTTTTTACGAGTTGATCACGGAGGATTGATATCAGTTAGAGAACCATCGAAAACCAGCCAGGGAGTACTGGACAGCCAGCTGTTTCATCAGCCTAGTTTGGGAATCATCGCCACTACGCACCCACGACAAGGGCTCGAACCCAGGACCTTCCGGTCACAAGGCAAGCTAGCTCGTAGACCATTGAGCCACTAACCCTTACAAACTAAACTATAGAAAATTAATCTGATGCTCGCCAGTGAATTGCTACAGGATGGAGTTTCCTGGAGTTCTAGTGAGAAGTCGTGACCAGTGAGGTCCAATAAGATGTCACGTGTGTAGATGGATGTCCCACCAACGAAAATGGTTGGGGTCGTGCTAAATCACGAATTGGTAGACGTTAAAATTCATAAGCCATTGAATCGGGTCCCCAGTGGCTGAATAGTATACGAGCTAGCTTACTTTGTAACGGGAAAGTCCCGGGTTCTGGTGGTGGGTGCGTACTGCCGATGATTCCCAAACTAGACTGATGAAACAGCTGCACAGTACTCCCTGACTGGTTTTCAAAGGCTCTCTAACTGATATCAATCCATGATCAACTCTTAAAAATCCCCATTGAGTCATAAAGAAGAAAAGGCGTTCAGCGAAGAGTTACCCTTTTTTTCGGCGATATCATTCTCCAGCTGTACAATTGCATATACAGAGAGTAAATTCTCTTAGCACAACAAAAGGAATGTTTCCAAGGATGTGTCATTAGAATTTTAAATTACTTCTAGATTACAGATTACGCAGTGTACAAATGAATAGCTTGAGTGACGTTATACAACTGACGATGTGTTGGGTAGAATTCAATTAAAATTGAATGAGACAGAGAGACAGTCAAGTTAACATCAGTGGTAATAAGGGGTAGAGATTTATTAGGAAGTGGGGGTGAGGGAAGAATACAATACCTTCAAGAAACGAAAAAAATACAAGGATTATATATTTGGTAATAAGATAGATATATAGATCAGTTCCAGTGTAGATTTTGATGACTGAACAAACTTCTTTCATCACGAAACCCATGAAACTTAAACCACTTAAACCGCCCACACTTTATGCTCCCCTAACGCGTTTCTATAATTCAATGGAGATTCATCATTGGCAGAATTACTGAGGAACCGCTTGCTTGTCCTGCTCACTGAAGAAAACCTTCTTCATGGCAGAACTTCGATCAGCTTTCATTACGAAACCAGTGATTCACATGAATGTGGCTACTGTTGGCTGCCTCATCTATGTACATCTACCTATTCACCTGCTCTGCCTGTGGAGCTAGGTTTGTCGGCCGTAACCAGCGTTCGCTATCCAAACGTATCATCGAACACTTACTCACAGTCACGGCTTTATAAAGGAGATGAAAGATCCCCTCGCCATTGTAGCTCTATTCTGGAACACCTAATCGATCGAATCTGGACACCAAGCTAAACCTTCCACAAAGGAACTTCAAAGTTGTTATCTACAGAATACATGGGAGTACAGGAGCTAAAAGAGTACTAATCAGTCAACCTGATTTATGTTAGCACGAAAAACGTCGTTTTCTGGCTTGGTTGTTTCTTAACTGTGTTATATTTTCTTCCCTTACCCGCCCACTTCCTAATAAATCTCTACCCCTTATTACTACTGTTGTTAATTTGACTGTCTCCCTCTCTCGTCCAATTTTAGTTGAATTCTACTCAACTATATTACGTATGTCACTCGACTTAGTTATTTAATTTTATTTTGGTTTCTACCCGGTTAACGCTTTCTACACTTATTTATTTAAACGCAGAAAAACTTGGTACAAAATGGCACCAAGAAAGATGCGCCACACAATATTGTGTGAGGGCTGAGATACTGCCCGGGCGCCCAGACAGAAGCAGGTGGTTTTCCTAAGGGACCCCACCCCCGCGAGCCTTTGACTTGGAGTCTAATCCTCAAGGCGACGGAGCTGCGTTCCCATGGTTGCCGGTGACCCATATGGGTTCATACGCCATTTGATCCGATTGAATTCTGGAGCCCATGTACCCCATGATAACTGCTTTTAGTCTAACCGCTATCCAAACAACCTTCCTGACATGGTAGGACCTGTAGGGACATGAGTCCCAGCCAGTTTAGCTTGTTGGGTCACTGCGGCATTCAAGCCCGACCACCACGGCAAGTTAGCAGTTATCGGTCGGGGCTTTCTACACTACAAAATCTTTGGAAGTATTCCTTTTGTTGGTAATAGAACATACGATAAATATATGCGATTGTACAGCTCAAGAATGATATCGCCGAAAAGAGGAGTAACTCCTCACTGAACGCCTTCTCTTTTATATGAAACAAGTACCAATAACAACTTATGAACACCAATTTTTCAATTACTTTGTATCGCGGCTCGTTAGCATACTAAATAAAGCTTTGACACTTTAAAGCTGTATGATATTTGATTGTTACGAGGATCCTTAACATTTCCTGACTGCTACATTCACCTGTTTAAAAAAAATTGAACTGAATATGTCTAAATTTCCTTCACTAGATAGACACCACCGATTAGATTTATTTACAAAATGTTTTTGCCTACTGATAATATGTTTAAGTAGTATAGTTAAGTATTATCAAACATTGGCCAGCTACTTTACATATCCAAATTCAAAGTAGGAAAATGGTAACATTTTGAAAGACTATGAGAATTTGACATGTTCTATGTACGAAAAAAGCAGCATTTA